AAATCGTACGTATAAAGATGAGGCGTGGGTTGGCCTTATTTTACTATCGCTGAGCTCTGAATATGGCGGGAGCAGGGTTGTATCATTTCGATACTACAAAACATTCCCCGCACTTTAAACTGTGGGTGCGATATAAGAGTGACAGTCAGTCCTTTAGTGTGTATGAAGTAAGATGCTGCTGACTGGCCGTCTTCCCTCTGGCCAGTAGTTAAAAAAGCAGACCGAGTTAAATGGCTTTAGTAGCTTGGCTATAAATACAAATATAATAACAAAGATTAGAATGCATTATTTCATCAATTGGGTACCATCGCTGTTAACGATATAATACCAGGAGGCCACTTTTATGGGCCTTTTGGGTAAATCTATCCCAAATCCTAAAGCAGTATTTACAGCTGTGTAGGGTTTGTTTGTTTTAAAGCAAAGCCGAATAATAGGCTATTCGCCGCGACGATATTCTGTTACATTGAAATATTAAGCCTAGTTTTGTATAACAGTTTCCAAACATGATAAGTCTTTTTAAATCCTTTCAACTTACAGTTATCCAACTGAAACTCTTTTCATAACGTATACAACGTTAAAACTGGTTCAGATATTAAGTAATATCAGGTATTGTATCTTTGTATCCTTACACTTCTCTAAAAGTAAAACATACGTTCATGATTCGATGACGAGGAACCCACTTTGAGACTAATAATGGCTGAAGACGGCCTGAATGGGTAATAAAGAAAAACTTTAATATAAGTTTAACATAACAGCAAATGTACAACGTTTCGACAAGGTTTTGTCATCATCAGATGACATATGTTCATGATGTCAGAAAAACACGTAGGTTCAAGAAGACTTGATACAAAATGATAAAAACCCTACAACCCGAGCGCTTTCGAAAGTTGGACATTTATTATTCAGGGGCAAACTGGGAATCAGTGTACACAACAAATCAGGTATGTCACTAAAGTTTTTGCACTAAAAATGTCTATAAAATGCTGATATCGGTATTCAAAATCTTACAAGTTTATAGACGTTAGCATTTGTAACATTCCGCGTATAACATAAGACTGATGAAAATAGTTCGTAATGAATTTGTGGTTTATAATGAAATCACATGTATTCTTAATCGTTTAGAAAAGTTTAATTTAGATTATTTCTCAAAATATAGTACTCAAAACAATTCAGAAAATTTTGTCCATAATAAATGTAAAAGTTTGTTTAAACTAGTCCTAAAAAAAACTCATATACGATAAAACCCGATCTAAAGCCTTACTTTTATCTTAATCTATTCAATGTGGTAGCAGTGTTTATTCCGTCTGGTACTTTTTTATTAAATTTATCCTAAATTTGCTGGCTTTTTTCTTTCTTTTTTGGTACATAGCTTCAAAGCCACTAAAATAGGTTGTTTAATATTTTACAATAGAATTCCTTTTATTTGTTACGGCATACTTATTCACCTTTTAGTAGCACTCTTAAAATCGTTCGCGCAACATTTTTAGGCCTATCACTCATTTAACAACTCCTTGATCTATACGTGCATCCAGTATTCAAAGATTATTAGGGATAAATCTTAAGGTTTCTTGGATATTCACTGTTTTGTTTTTCTGTGATGATATGAAGGGAAATCCCCCGTAGAAGCGATAGAATCGCTACATTGTTGTTGTTTTTGTCTTAAGTTCATCATGACTAAACAGTAACATTCAGCTGCAGAAGCATAGAATGTCGGGGAAACCCCAAAATTTCTGTGAAAGCCTGTTATCCTGCCGTGCAGTAGTCACATGACTTTGTCATGTCATCTACAAAATATGTAAGATAACCAATTAAATAAATGAGGGATTTCCCTGGGAAGTATTAATGCGTAACCAAGTCAGATACATCTGTTCGGTGATAAAGGGAAAGTAGGCTAGTATATACAAGGATATATACGAATATGATGCCGTAGGTTCTACGGCATGACGAGAAAAGGCTACTGTTGGTCATTGTATGCAATTTCATCAAAAGTGTTAATGGATATAACTTATATATTTAACAGTACAACTACAAATGCTGTGACAAGTTTTTTAAGAATATAAAATGCAAATACATCACTCAAATAGATATTTAAACTTTTCAGCAAGCCGTGAATATAGACAGCTATAAGATGTATGTGTGTATTGCTGTAAAACCTAACTTTTGTAAAACTTAAAGTTCTAGATGATCGATTTTCATACGTAAAAATCAAATACAAGAATACCAGGAAACAAAACAAAACAGAACCTGGTAGGGAGAGACAATCCGGCTTTCGACGGTTGGTGAGGTATTATAGTTGACCACTTGGAATCTGATGTCTTTGAGAAGACTATTGTCCACGCCACAACCACAACACGCTGTAATTCTTACTGACA